AAAGTTATATAAGAATTCCACTTGGTAAAATATTCTTCCAATTTGGGGGACGTAGAATTTCGCAGATTTCCAAATGTTCTATAAGCAAGCTTTAAAATGGGTAATGAAACACACACAAGGGGGATTCCTCAGAAAGGACAGTGACGGGGGAGGGGGGGTTCTTACCTCTTTACATGGTCTTCCAGAAAATGTTCAAATGGAAGACAAAACAAATCATGGCCTTTCTGAGTTAAAACCGTTTCAATTGCTTCAACAGATCATTGCACAAGAGTGAGCAAATGCTTATTGAAATTCCACCTCCTGGAAGCACCTCCAGTGCCCTCTCACTCAGAGCCAAGTCTGTAATATTAATCAGCTCTGGCTTCAAAAAAGCTGGGGCCAAGCACAAAACCTCAGTGCTATGGGCACATGACCCCCACATGAGGTTCCTGTGAGCGATTTCTCCACCTTGTTCAGGTGACTCCAATCACCCCGGTACCAAGACCTCCACCCCCCAGGTTTTCTGCTTCTCTGCTCTTGGACTGCAGTTCTGCACAGAGCCTCCATGAACTTCTATCTCTCTTAGGTCAATTTTATAAAGCCTGACATGTTGATGCATTGGTACAGGTGCATAATCCTTCATCTGAAAATTCTGGGGTAAATGTGGCCAGAATTTGGGGGTTTACAAAGGAAACACAGAATGTATACCTTATAGTAAAACTCCCAGTAGTTTTGGGTCATTTTCTCTTAATATTTCTTCAGTAAAATAGATACCTATTCCCAGCAAGATTATTTTTAAAAAATTCCACAATGATTCAGGAGGGCTTTGGCTGCCAGTTTTATTTTTTAAAAGTTTCAGTAGTCAGAGCACTTTGGGGTCTGGAATTTCAGAAAAGGGATTGTGTACCTATATTACAAGTTGGTGGAGCTGGGTTGATTTATTTTTTCCAATTGTTTATTGTCCAAATGGAAGCTCAGTGCAATTTCCAAATTCCTAGAATCAGTAGAAAGAGTTTCAATGACATGACGTGAGACCTTTCTTTTGTTAATCCGACAGAGAAGTTGTAGCATGGGAAGTTCAAGTGGTTTGGCAAAGTTGTAAATGGTCTAGATGGGATATTGGATTTCTGACATTAAGACAGACCCAAGTTGACTTCACCCTAACCAAATTTGTCATCTTGGGAAATTGATGCTCCGCCTTCCTTCCCAAGTTACCATTACTCCCTCTGATTAGAGAAACTCCTCACTCGTAGGACTGCTATGAGGACTAAATCAGTAGAAGCAAGTGTGATGCTTGGCAGAGTGAGCTGCATATACTACATGCTCAGTAAAAGGCACCCATTACTATCTTTATCCTTACTATGATTGTTACAATAGTCCTTGACTTAACTCAGCTAAATCCAGCAAATGTTTACTGAATCCCTCCCTGCAATGCACTAGTGTAGGTTACAGGGTGAAGAAAGCAGAATTATCTGCCTATTACCCCATAAGTAATTCAAGGGATTCTTTTATATCTATGCCGTGAGTACTTACCACGGTCCCTAATACACAATGAACATTCGAGACACTTTGGTTGAATCGAATTAAACTGAAGGTGCCTACAATCTAGCATGGATATAGCAATAGTAACAATAAAGAATATAAGAAATAGCTCAAGGGCGGCACCTGTGGCTCAAGCAGTAGGGCGCCAGCCCCATATGATGAAGGTGGCGGGTTCAAACCTGACCCTGGCCAAAAAAAAGAAACTGCAGAAAGAGTTCAAGAGCTTTACAAAGTGCTCTGAGAATAGGTATAAAGAAGAAGAAAAAAAGATTTCTTCTGGCTTAGAACAGAGGAATACTTTAAAGAAGGAGAAACATTTGTGTTAGGCCTGAACAGTCAGACAAGCCTTTAGCAGGGACACTTGGGGATTAAAGAAAGGTGTTCCAGGAAGAAGGAAAAGATTAACCAAATTCCTGAAAGGGTGGAAAATTGCACAGTGCTAACAAACATAGGAAAAAATGCTCATCATCCCTAATTATTAGAGAAATGCAAATCAAAACCACCCTGAGATACCATCTAAGCCCAGTAAGAATGGCCCACATCACAAAGTCTCAAAGCTGCAGATGCTGGTGTAGATGTGGGGAGAAGGGAACATTTTTATACTACTGGTAGGACTGCAAACTAATACAACCTTTTTGGAAGACAGTATTCATAACCCTCAAAGAACTCAAGCTAGACCTCCTATTTGATCCTGCAATCCCATTACTACCCAGGAGAAAAAAAATCCTTTTACCATAAGGACACTCACACTAGACTGTTCATTGCAGCTCAATTTACAATCACCAAAATGTGGAAACAGCCTAAATGCCCACCAACCCAGGAATGGATTAACAAGCTGTGGTATACACCATGGAATACTATTCAGCCACTAAAAAAGAGGATGACTTTACATCTCTTGTATTAACCTGGATGGAATTGGAACACGTTATTCTTAGCAAAGCATCACAAGAATGGAAAAACAAGGATGCTATGCACTCAATTCTGATATGAGGACAATTAATGACCTAGCACATGGTGGGGGGGGGGCGGCAGATGGAAGAGCAGAGAGAGGAAAGGAGGAAGGGGGGGTACACTTTGGGGGGGCAGAACACTATTATAAAAGGGCCTTTATCTAACACATGCCATCATTGTGAGGGTTCTTTGTATACTCAATGAATCCCCAACAATAAAAAAAAAGACTAAGTCAGTGGAACCTGCAGTGGTACATGCAGGAGTGTGGACTATATACTCAACCCAGCAATGACTAAATTTGCTTCTGATCTTCTTTTATTTTCCTCAGGAGATAATCCAAACCAATATAATTTGGGCCAAGCTTTAGGAAAATTGCTGTGGTGGCATTTTATAGGAAGAGTTGAAGGACAGAGCTCAAGGAAGCAAAAAATAGATCTGTCAAGGATGGATCAGAAAGTCTTTGATGACAACAAAAAACACTAAACTAGGATGGTTATGAGGGGAGACGTCAAAAAGGCAAGTGTAACGCACCATATGTGTATTCAGCAACCAATTAGAGATAGAAAACAAAGGAAAGAGATGGTCCAAAGATTTCTTTGGGTTTTTAAAACTTAGGGTATGCGGTAACAGAGAGAAGGGAGAATACAGATGTTGGCTTAGGAAGGTGGAACATTGTGAGTCCACTTATAAACTGAATGGCAAATTACCTCCTGTTCAATGCAAAAAATAAAACCAGCCAGTGATGTCAAGAAAACGTGTTTAACCAACAGCAATTACTCATGGGCTAACGTCCTTAGTATCAAAAATGAGCCCACTAATCTTCCACTAGCCCTATTTGAGGAAAGCTCCTTGAAGTCCAATGCTCCGTGTGAGTCTGTGTTGAAATTCTGTTTCCCTTGGCTCGGCACCTATAGCTCAACTGGCTAAGGCGCCAGCCACGTACACCTAAGGTGGCGGGTTCGAATCCCCAGCCTGGACCCGCCAAACAACAATGACGGCTGCAACCAAAAAATAGCCGGGCGTTGTGGCGGGCGCCTGTGGTCCCAGCTACTTGGGAGGCAGAGGCAGGAGACTCGCTTGAGCCCAGGAGTTGGAGGTTGCTGTGAGCTGTAATGCCATGGCACTCTACCCAGGGGGACAGCTTGAGACTCTGTCTCAAAAAAAAAAAAAAAAAAAAAAAAGAAATTCTGTTTCCCAACATGCAGATTGTCCCACCTTACCCCAAATGAGCATTGCAGGTGCATAAGCCTGCAGAATTGTTGTCATGAATGGTTCTAAGTAAGGGATCAGATAGATTACCCCAAAGTGGGTGGAAAGTGCCCCTTGCTCAGGTCAGGTGAATGCTCATCCTGCATTTGAGACCCTCCTTACACCTTATACCCTAGGCACCTCCCTGGCCTTCCCTATTCCTGGCCCTAAGAATAGTGTGAAATCTTTTCCAAGATAAAGCAGTAACAAAAGATCATCATTAAGAAGCTTTACGTTGTAGTACAGGGAGTTGGCAAACTTTTCCTGAAAAGGACCAGACAGTAAATATTTGAGGCTTTGCAGGCCATGTGATCTCTTCCCCCAGTTCTCAATTCAGCCATTATAGTGAGAAAGCAACACAGGCAATCTGCAATGAGCGGGCAAGGATGTGTTCTAATAAAACTTTATTGACACAATTAGGCTGCAGGCCAGATTAGATCTTTAGATCATAGTTTAACCAATCCTGTTATGTGAAAATCAATGATCAATAAGCCTTAGCTTTAAACTCCAAATCTACCACTTACTAAAAATGTGGATTTGGACAGGTACCTGTAAGATACAGTCATTATATCTTCCTTCCCGGTTGTGAGGAGAAGAGAAAGTGGGTGTCAGTAGGGCAGGGAGTAGTCTTTTTAATTACAGGGCCCAGTAAGAATAGTTACTGCGCCAAACACTTTACAAAGATGATTTCATTTGGTCCTCCAAAAACTCCTGAAGTAGTGACTATTATAGGTTTTATTTCTACTCCTGGGGAAACTGAGACACCAGACATGAGGAAGAGGTGGGTGTACAGATAGAAAGTGATACAGCTGGCACTTAATCTCAAGTAAGAGGACTTTAGGAGCCTTGGTATTAACGCCTCTGCTAGTCAATTAGCTCCACTAATTCAACTCGAATTAAAATGCTCAGAAACATCTCGAGTTCTTCAGGGCTTTTCATAACTCATCACAGGGTTACACAACTGAAAACAGTTTAACAAAACAACTTTTAAAAATTCACCTTCAGCTTCATACTCAGATAACATCTTATGTAAATAAAACACTTATTCTATTCCCCCCCCCGCCCTCCCCCCTCCCCAACAAAGATTTCAAGTTAAGGAAAACCAAAATATTATTGTGAAAGCTGATGCGAACTCATTTCAAAAAATTTATCCTATAATCACTCCAAAAACTTGCCATTTCAAAGCTAAACTACAGAATAGCACACTGGATTAATTATGCCAGACTGCAGCAATAACCTTGAGTTAAAGCTGCAACCTTCTATTTTTAAGAAACGCTTGCCTTTCTGGTTGATGAAACCTGTCGTCCCATCAGGTAACAGACGTGACCAGGAAAGAGAAAAGCGGTAATGAGTCAATCCAAGCTGTTTGATACATTTCAAATCTTCCTCCCACAGAGTGTAGCTGCCACAAGCTACATCGCCAGTCTGGTTCTCGAAAACTCTCTCTCCTCCCTGATGGGTAAATGTGTCCCAGACACAAGGGCCTCTTCCACCTGCATCCCAGCCTCCTGAGAAAAAGAAGAAAATGAAACGCTTACACTCTTGACATCGAGAGGCGTACGTGGAATGTAAATATTTGTCACCCAAAGAACATACCTCATTAACTCAATGTACCATATTTATAACTTTAAAATATGCCTTTAAAATAACATGCATGAGTGGGTTATGTGTTTAGCTGTCCTTGATCCCTGGAGCGGACTGGTGGCAAATGAAAAATTATTGCGTAGTGCTGTAGCAGAGCAGGCTTTCATGGATCATTATCTGAAGATCTCCCAGCTGGTAAACAGAGGCAGGCCCCAGCTCAGAGATGCCTGAGCTGAAAATGCCTCCTCCTCATGGACATTAGACATTTTCCAGCCGCTGCTGACACACCTTCCCCTTGCACACAGAGTGTACAAGGAGTCTGGGGACCTTGTGACTGGCCCTGAACACATCAGCCCTATTCTGTTACCCAGCAGTGGAGCCTGTGATGGTCCAGTCCATTATTAGCAGGAGAGGGAGCACGAATTTCCACCATAATTGACACAATCTTGGATCTGAAATTCATTCATTCATGCTTCCTTAACTCAGCAAATGGAGTTGCCAGGCACTGTGCTAAGCCCAGGGGACACCTGGGTGAACTATGTCATGTCTCCTGTTCTTGGGGAACTCAGCTAATAAACAATTGCAAAATAGCCAGGATAACGGCCTTTTCCCTCCCAGAAACCAGGGATGGGCCTTCACCCGAATGCGGGCTAGAGTCACAGCACATCTCTTTCTGCTCAGTTTTCCTGCAAGCCAAAAACAGACCTAAAATACAATGTTTATACATTTCATAGAATACATAGACTCTGTTTATCATGTTTTGTATTTGTAAAACTATGTAAAAAAAAATCCATGCTTTAGTGGCACTTTTTCCTTTAACAAGGTCTATGTCTCAGATCTGGACAACCAACAAAACAATAAAACAAATACTGACTTGGGGCAGCACCTGTGGCTCAAAGGAGTAGGGTGCCAGCTGCACATACTGGCAGTGGTGGGTTCAAACCCAGCCCCAGCCAAAAACTGCAAAAAAAAAAAAAAATACTGACTTGTAGCACCTGCCAATTTCTATGGTGGAAATACACCCATCCTGGCCAGGTTCAAACAAGCAGCACATGACTGAAGGCAGACTTAGGAAAAGATGAGCAGTAGCCCACCACTATAGGGTATTTCTCCTATACACATACAAGAAATCTAAATGGCCACAAGGGCAGAGAAAATTGTGATATTTAGTAGGAGAATTAGGAAGTAGTGAGTTTGAATATTTACTAACTTTGCTTTTGATATAAAATTACTTATGAGTTTATATCATTTAACTTTTAATAATGCCCCCGTTTTAGATCACCTTACACAAACTTAATAGGTTCTCATGAGCCGGCACAAGCTGGCTTCTTCACGTCATTGATAAGTAACTTGGCTGAGATCACAGGGTTGGTAAGTGACACCGCCAAGACTTGTATCCAGATCTTAGAAGTCCAAGTTCTTCCACTGGACCATATTGCTCTTAGTAATAAGGACTCTGAGTGCTGAAGAGTTAGCTGATGTCCGTGCTACTTCATTTATCAAGGCTAAGAAGTGAAAAGCACAGTTTATACATTTTGAAAGGCGGTCCATGTCACATGACTACAACAAACTTTGACAATCTCAGGAGGTAAATGCTACTTAGGAAAATGTACTTAGGTGGCATAACTCGTTTTCCACAGATGTCAGTTAAGCAAAGTGTATATCTAAACAACAGTGTTTCTAGGAGATACTAAGCTATGAGTTGAAGATTAATAATTATAACTGAAATGTGACCCAAAAAATTGAAAGGCCATTACTTGCTAGTACTTCCATATAAATCTTCACTGAGAGAATAATATTAATGACTCATTTGTTCATTAGAAAATTTCTCCAGTTGCAATTATGCCTACCATTTCCAGATGGACTGTAGAAGTTAAGTTATCCTCCAAACTATAATGACTGGATGAGAAATATAGGAGATATATTTTGAAATGCACTGCTAATCCGGCAGGAAGCTAGGTAACCCAAAAACCAAGCGAGGGGGTAATTCAGTGGCATCAGTTAGTAGTGATTCAGGCTTTTGTTCTGAGAGCACCTGCCAAGTCTAGATGATCTCCCTTGAGGGTCAAGGGGAAAAGAAGACAAAATGTAAGGCTCGATAAAGATGGGAATCATAAATGGATACGCTCACATAAAGCTGACAGTGCAAGGACTCCACGCCCTGTGCAGGAATAAACAAGAGACAAATTCTCTGCCCGCACCAAAACAGAACAAAGAAACTAGCTCGACTCAGATTTGAGTGAAAGGGGGAAATTACTTGTCAATATTTGTAACCACAATTCAGCCATCAAACCATTAAGTGTGAAAAATGGGAAAAAAAGATATTTTCAGGTAGGGGGAGATTTTCCTCTCTTTGGATGTTACTGGAGGATAAATTTCCACCAAAACGATGATGTTAACCAAGAAAAATAAAGAACTAAGATGCAGGAAACAAGAAATTCATCAGAGGAGATTGAAAATGGGAATCCCTAGTGTTATGGACTGAACTGGGTCCTCTCAAAATCTATGTTGTAGCTTTAACCCCTAATGGGAGTATATTTGGGGAAGGGTCTGTAAGGAAGTGATTATGGTTAAGTAAGGTTATAACAGTGGGTTATAATCTAATGTGACTGCTGTCCTTATAAAGAGAGATGGAGAAAGACACCAGGGCTGTGTGTGCAGAGGAATGGCCATGTCAGGAAGCAACAAGAAGGCAGCCTCGGGAGGAACTAACCCTGCTGACACCTTGGTTGTAGATTTTCAGCCTCCAGAACGACGAGAAAATAAATTTCTGCTGTGTAAGCTACTCAGCCAGTGGCATTTCTGTTATGGCAGGCCTTGCAAACTAATACAAGCAGATGATCACAAAGGATACCAGCTCAGCAGCAGACCCAGGGAGTCACTAGTCCACTCGAGAATGTGGCCAGCTATAAGAAATAGTTCTTCAAGATGATATGAATAGAATCTCTAGTATGCTGTATTAGTTAGGATTGTAATAGGATCACACGATTAAGGGGACCAAAAGTCCCACAACCTGCCATCTGCAGTCTGAAGCTGGTGAGATAATCGAGTCCAAGTCTAAGAGCCTGGGAATCAGGAGCACCAGACCTTAAGGCAGGAGATGCTTGTCCTAGTGCAAAAAGAGCAGATTTGTCTTCCCTCACCTTTTTGTCCTACACATATTCAAACCCTCAAGACATCGGATGATGTTCAGCCACGTCCCACGTCGGGGAAGGTGATCTTTACCTAGACCACCAATTCACCAAAATAAATGCCAATCTCTTTCAGAAACATCCTCATGGGCACACCCAGGAATAATGTTTTACCAGCTATCTGGGCATCCCTAGCCCAGTAAAGTTGACACACAAAATTAACCATTAACATATATTTTAATTAATAAAAGAATTATTATAGAACTTTCAGCCAGCACAAACACAGAATATCACAGTCTCGATGCCAATCTTCCTCATTCAATTTATAAATATTTCAGTATGCATCTCTAACTGATAAAAATATTTTTCTAATTGTAGTTGAATACACAACATGAAACTTACATCTTAACCACTTCTAAGAATATTGTTCTGTGACATTAAGTGACATTAAGGCATCCCTATTTGAACAAAGGTAAAGGTTAAGAGGAAAAAAGTATTTACCGTACAAATAGTCACAAAGATAGATTTAGTGTATTAATGCTATGTTAAAATGAATACAAAGAGAAAGCATTAGAGGAAACAAATAATATTTTCATATTAATAAAAGTAACAATCTACTTGAACTATATAAGAATAATCAACTTTAATGCATCAAACAATAGTTTTGAAATCTATAACAAAAAAACAACCAGAAATGAAGAGATAGATCAAAAAAATCCCACTAAGACTTTCTCAAAAGTTGACAAAAGGAAAAGAGGATGTGATTAGCATAGTTTGTAGGTTTATTCTCTATACTACCTGCTGTAATATCTACCTAGTACCATACGTAAATGCACATGTGTGATGTATACATGCAAAAATGAAATGCGACCCACAGGGAAGAGAAGAGATGGAAATCGGTCCTCAACAACAACCAAAAGTGATTTTCAAACACCCTTGAAGTATTCGCAAATATTGGAATTCATCTGACAACTAAACCAAAATGAGAAAAAAAAAGAGAAAGAAAAAAAAGTAAAAGAAGGCAGGCAGAGGGGGAGGGAGATAAGGATGGAAGAAATAATAACAATAAAATCAGCCCCCACACCACCACCTTCTCTACTCTATCCACTTGGAATTCTTTTTAAAATTCTAACTAAACCCCAGATGGAGCAAGAAATAAAAGCGGAATGATTTTTAAGGAGAACGTGTTACTAGAATTGTCTTGAGAAAAAGCAAAAAACCTAAAAATAAACACTTTGAACGCAGGTAAATACTTTAAAATGGACTTTCTCGAAATTGGAGAGTTCACTGTACCGATCTGGAGAAACTTCTAACTTTAGAAAATTAGATAAAGCATTTGTCTATGGATTCCACTGTTGCTGGCAGATCATTCCATTCACACAGATACAGTAAAACTGTAAAATTAGCTCAGCATTTCAAGAATCTTCACAGCCAGGAATGGTCTTAAAATAATGACATTCCTCAAGACATCTCTGCTAGGAAAGAATGCTCCCCAGTCCTCCCAAGACCAGTATCTCTAGGACTTTAGACGCAGATTACCTAAGTCCCCAGGCTGAAAGGCTCAAACACAGGTCAAATGTTGCTTTTCTGTCACTGTGGAACTTAACAGATGTTAGCAGCTAGACTTCAGATTTGTCACTATGTTTAACTATTTCTTCATAGTAGGTACCAGTGACCACGTGCGAAATTAGACAACTGTGCATAGTTGCTTCATGAGACAGAACCGCTCAAACTCTTCTCAAATATTTTGAGAGCACTGACTTGAAATCTGCCCTTTCCCCTCTGTCTACCCA